CCTTAAATAACAGTTAATGGCATAACAGAAATTACTAAAAAAACCACTTAAGAAATAACCTATTTGGGGCCTTTAACTCTTGGTGATCTGAATCACCCAACTGAAAAGATCTTTCTCCATTGCCTGTGTATGGAAATGCCATTCCTAACTCAGATCCTGGGAAACCGGCTGGCTTACTGTAACTTAAAGCAAACAGTGTGAGCAGTCCTCAACAACTTGAAGGCAATCAGCACAACAAAAAGCATTTGAGGGATGCTTACACTACTGAAATGCTTCCATGGTAAGGCAGGAACCGTGCAAGTCTTTGGCCAATTTTCTAAAAGATTCTCATCTGTCACTAACTTTTAGGTTAATTTCAGGAGCAGCAATCTGGCTGGAAGTTACTCAAGGTGAACTATTGTACAATGAGTGTGCCGCTGGGGTAAGATTTGAAGGATAAGAAGCCATTTCCAAAAGCTTTGCTATCTACATCCTCCGATAAGTATAAAGCCCGTGGAAGTGCCCAGTGAAATGCCCAGGGGCTATTTTCACAAAAAATAGTCTTAAAAGAACACAAAGTGCTGATGTAGTGTGTAACTGCAATAGAGAAGCATGCTTTTAAGAAAAGTACAAATCTTTAAAATGCATGTGTGTGTGTGTATACACACACATGCACATAATAAGCATTTCACTCCTTTTGGAAGAAAGATATAACAACAGGATAGTTATGTTCCATAGCTATGGAACAACAGTCGTCATCTCTATGGTTTATTAGCTGATTTTCAAATCCTTTTGACAAAGTTACCATCATTTTAGATTGGTAATCCCAACTTTAGCTATCAATAAATGCTTTCTTATCTAAATCAGAATGGAATGAATATACAGCCCTCACTACGCAAAGGAAGTATTTCAGTAAACTTACAGTTTTACCTTTAGTTCATCCAAGTCTGGCCCAGAGATCCTATAAAGGAAAGTTATGGCTGAGCTGTAGCAATGAAAGGAAACTATTCAGTTTAATACGTAACTGAAATGGAAAGGGCCGGGCACAAATCAGTTGTACCTTGATTTACAACGGCACTGCCACCTAAAACAGTGCTGAATGAGGCTTTAGTTCAGATCTGATGTGGTTTATGAAGACAGGAAAGGAAGAATCAAAAGGTTGTGCTGCAGTTTTATTTTAGGAAACATCTCAATCTAAAGAGTTGCTACTGGGTATAAGCAGTGGTCTCTTAATGAAGAAGAGAAACCTTTATCTTGTGAAATTCCAATAGCAACAGCCTGATCTGCTACATAACAAAGCCTTTGAAGAATCTTTTTTTAAAACTTCTCTGTGGATTTCACAGTGTGCTGTACCACCTTACAATGAATTAGGCCAGAAATATGTTATCTTTTTAGATGTCAGTTTCAGGTTTTGCCTGAGAACAACTGCTGCATTCTAAGAACACCCTCTTTTCATTCCAATTAGTGATAAAACTGATGTGACTGCTAATTTTTAGCAAAAATTAATCAATCTACAATTTTTTGGTAAATTAAATACATTAGTATTTGCTAGCTCCTTTTGAACCATCATATGTGCATCCTGGCGCCAAACAGAAAGAAACAAGCACGTGGATAAAACAACACCAAGTTCTTTTGTATAAGAGAGATAGTTTCCAGCTTTTCAAAGATCTGAGTAATTTGTAGTGCTGTTCAAAGGGCAAAACTGACCTTTCTTGAACTTTAAATACATTCAGCCCTGTTTTGTGGTTATGTTATCCATCTTTAGCAGCTATGTTATACTGCAAAGCAAGGAAATATTGTATCTTCATTTAATTTGCATTCAAGACCCCCTGGTAATCTGACATTTTTAAAGCTTATCTTATTTTCCAGGTCATCGGTTTGGTTTTTCAGTGAGCTTACTGTTGTTAGAAAAGTGTCACATTCATTGATTGCTATCTTCATGTCTTGTTTTCCTTTAAACTTCTGCAAGCTTCACTGAAGATTATAAACATGTTTTCCCTGCACATACTTTAGCCCAAATTAACACTAACCTGAACACTAACTACTAACACACCTGAAGAGTTAATGCAGATATTGCATTGTCTGTTATGTCTCCTGCTTGTGCAAAAAAAAGAAAGTTGACAACCCTGATTCTCATCTACTGGAATACAAAAAACAAAAGCCAAACCCCTTAAACAAAATCAACTTCATTTTTTGGCACTAGACAGTTTCACTCAGTCTCTTTAAAAATATTAAAAATTAAGTAAAAACCCCAAACAACTTAAGATATCAAATTGCATCAAGGTAACTGAACATAAGAACTGAAGGATAAAGATATAAACTGTTCAGGGTTCCCCCAATGTATTTCTCAGTGTATTTTCTTTGAAATCTGTAGAAACCATACAACAATATTGTTAGAGAGAAGAGATTCTAATTCTAAAATTTGGAAAATTCTAATTTTCACTAGGGAAAAATGTGTGAGATATGGTTTTAACCAATATCACCATGACTTGCAGAAAAATGAAGTGCAAACATACTTTTCGGAATAAGTGAACAAGATAGGAGAGAATGACCAATTGCCTTCAACAGTAAGGGCAGAAGGCATTCCAGTAATAGTGCAAAAATATAAACCAGGCAACAGCACCATCTCTAGGGTAGTCAAAGAACAAAGGACAACCATGACCACAGCCTGTGATTGCCCTTTTACCAGTGAGACAGCAGCTTCTCCTGCCTGACAGCTCCCCTGTCAGATCAGCCAATCGATCTGCCTGAAAAACAACTGCAAAGTGATTTTTCACTGGCATTACTTCCCCCTTCTGGTTCACCACAGGCGACCACATGAACCGTCTTGCCAGCACAAGAGTGGGGCACTATGGAGGTGGGAGCAGATGAATCTCCTGATGGCAATGTACTCAGTAATAATGCAAAAAAAAAAAAAAAAAAATTGGTACAACCTCATTTTCTGTAGGTTCCCCTGGAGATAACAGAACAAATAGGTTCCTCTGAAGGGAAGCTGAGAGCACAAACTTCTCCAGTCCTTTAATTTGCTCTCTAAAGCTGCCTACTTCTCCCCATTTAATTTAGGGTAAGTCTAGAGAGACTAGACCACTATCAAGGGTTATTCTAGCCCTGGGCACATTCCCCACTCTCTTCAGCCTTGAACTGTAATATGCCCTGAAAATACAGGGACACCCCTTTTGTCATCACCCACCCCCGGATTGTGGCACTGTACATCTTGCAGGGACGCAGAAGGCTAACAGCTCCTATTGACTTTAATAGTTTGTGAAAGTGCTTGATGTTTCTGAAACTCACACACACTATTTGTACTGGGATTTTTTTTTAACCCCATTTGTTAATTTTAATGTACTTTTATCTTTTTTTTTCTTAAATTAAAGTCTTGACCCTGAGATTGTGGTTCATCCAGCTCTGCAGAAACAGACAGTACAGTAAGGTTTTGGAGACCATCCTATCTTGTATTTGGGGCAGTTACTTCAAATGTAAATCTACAGAAACCAGCTTTACATCATACTATGATTAACCCTATCAACACCTTATATTAGAAAACCCAAAGCTGTCCCTGTCTGACAAAAAGCAAACAGTCTGAAAAGTAGACGTGATCTTCATCATGTGAATGCTATGTCAGTATTCCCAAGACGTGAGACTGAAGCGCTTTAATTACACGTGGTGCAAATGGTCACTCTTGGTTACTTTAAGACATAGTTATTTTCCTTTAAGGCAAGCAGCAGCCAGTTTATGGTGAAGTCAAACTATGCTTATGCTGAAATTTCTGTTACTTAAAGTCAACTTTAAAACCATTTTAACGAAATATCACTGCAACTTCCTTGTACCGACAACAGAGATAGAAAAAACAAAGAACACTGCCATGATACATATTCTGAGGCTTGCATATAGCTCAAACTTTCCAAAATTTTTCATTTCCTATCACTAGGTTGTTGTTATAATGAATTAAATAATGGAAGTTTGAAGCTGTTTTGGAATTGGTTGGTATAATAATGTTGGAAGCCATATTCCAATCCATTGACAGCTGTGGTCTGTACCCAGGGAAATGTATACTGTGGCCACGTGACTGATGGAAACATGTCTCGAGGCCTCTCAGGTTATGCACTGTCATGAGCTGTAGGAACTCAGCGGTATGTTGAAAACAGTGCATACCTGGAAATAAACACAGTTCTTCGTGTTCAGAGACAACCAAGAAAGCATGTGTACCATTGATAAGGGAACAGACCTTTAAACCAACACAGTCCTAAAATGTTCAACTACCATGAGCTTAAAGGAGTAAAATAAGTATCTACTGGCCAACTACTTTCACAGAAATTGAAACAACAAATAATTTCAGTAAATTCTGATTTTAAAAAATTAAAAATAAAACCTCTGAACAAAATTGTCAGGCAGAAATGGAGCAACCAGCTCTACTGAATCCAATACTGTTAGGGGACAAAGTATATTCATTGCTAAAGGCCTTGCAAAAGGGAGATAGATTATTTCACAGATAATCTAATTTTATTATTACTTTTTTACATGGTTCATTTTGAGAGTGCTGCAGTGATGTTGCGGTATAGCATCAAGTTAATTAGCATCTCTTGTATTCCTGAGTATGTAAGATAACATTAGCACACCACCTTTTATGAGTCACTGATCTTTTAATTTATACTATACTTTTCAATTGTTGCCTTCTATTTCTGCACAGAAATTCTTTAGTTTCCTATAACATAAGAACACTTCCTTAAACTAGAAATTCAGGAAAATGTCTCTCATTCAATGTAATGTGGCTATTGGGACACCCCAGTGAACTTGCAATACAAACGCCAAATATCAGGTACTGTTTCTAGTAATTTTTATCTTCTCTGATATCCAATATGATGCAAAGATTTTTAAAAAATATGCTTTAAGTTCATTAAAATAAATACACTTTTAAAAAACTACAGTTAATGTAATAAAACCCCTTAATTTCTTGCATTTTCAGCAGTATATACAGGACAGTTCACAACTGAGTAAAGGACTAAAAAAGATGAGCAGATTACCTGGGGATTTTCTTGGGAATCTGAGGTGGTGACGAATGGCTTGCTATGGTCTGCTCAGAGCTTTCTGGAGACTTCTCCTGCGTTTCTCCTTTGTCTTTTGCTAGTGCATCTGCGATAGCAGACTCCACTCCCCCCTTGTTTGGATGGTCAGCCTTTGGTTCACCTTGTGCCGGTTCACATCTATACATGAAAACAATCGATGGCTTCTCACTGGAGTCTGACTTTGCCTCACTGAACCAGTGATGACGTTGAACTGGAGGAGGGGGTAGCATATGTATAACAGTTCCATCAAGACCCACCAATTTTCCTTTCTCTCTTTCTTTCTCTTTGTCTTCCTCGTCATCAGTTTTCCTGCGGCGGAAGAAGCTCTTAAATGATATCCAGCGTTTGGGTTTTGCATCAGCAGCCCGGCGACCTTCTGAATGAAGGATTGACTCAGCCTCTGTTGACCTGGTGGGACTGTTTGGTTTGGTCCAATTGCTGAAATGTCTTTGCAACAAGTTACTTGCATGGTAGGGTGAAGAAGTGGAGCGTGGAGGAGGAAATGGCGGTGCTTGCTCTGTTTTGGGACTTGTGGCATTTGGGGTGGCTCTCACTGGCTTTGGAGAGTGAGCGGCAACTGGCTGTGAAAGTGAATCTTTTTGCATTTTAATGGCAGTGTTTTCCACCGTCTTGGATGACTCTATTTCAGACTGGGACGTAAACAGAGATTTGGGTCGTACCAGGGTGGTTTTAGTAGCATCTGCATCAGGGGGTAAGGAATACAGTTCTTCTACGCTACAGGACTTGGGTCCAGACTGAGGAGTTTCTGGAGGAGACTGTGGAGGCTGGATAGAAGCCACAATCTGTGAAAGCACCGTGCTTGCATTCTCTCTGCTGCTGCTGCCAACAGAAGCCTCTGGTGTTACGTCTATTTTTGCTGCAGGCTCTTGTGTTGACTTTTGAACTCTTGGTGGGGAGCTGTGGTCAGAACTCTGACTTCTCTGTGGCGATATCTGACTTTTACTGAGGCAGCTATTAAACTCTTGGACCTTCTGAGCCACAGAACCCAGCCTGCATTCAGAACTATTAGTCACCCCCTTCGCTTGGGGAAATTCACTGGGTTTGCTTCCTATGGTTTCGGTCATTTTGCTTTCTGTTTCTATTTCTTCGTATGTGTGGCTTATTACACTAGTAGTTTTATCTTTGATGGACAGCTCTCCGCTGGTCCCTAGAAAACTTTTATAGATAGCCAGGTTATCATATGCATTTGGATTGATTACAATAGGAACTTTAATAGCGTTTTTGGAACTCTTAGCGTAAGTGGGCTCATCATGAATGATAATAGGAAAAGGGGGCATGCCAGCATTATTGTAACTGTTGAATTTTATCTCAGATAAATTGGGAGACTTAACTGGGATAGTTTTTGAAGAAATGTTTGTAGCTGTAGGTGAAGTGGGAGCTGACTTGTGGCTTGTCTTCCTGGGAGGAACAGAAGGTCCTGAGCTGTTTGCAACTAACTCCACCTTAGGTATCTTCTGTCTTGGACTAGTACTGGAAGTCCACACTTCTTGATATCTGATTGCACTGGATTTTTTCAGATTAGCATTTACTCGTACGGGTGATGCTGCAGAGGATGTAATAGGTGTGCCTGGAGTTACTGGTGAGCTGGGGTTAGATGGTGTATTTTTGGTTTCTGAGTTTTCTGTCTGATTCTCTTTACATTCATTGGTCATGGCAGCTGATACATCTACTATGGTATATGGCTTGCAAACTGGTTGTTCCATATTCACCACCCTGTAAGGCTTAGCTTGCTCTTCCACAGGCACCAGATTTATAGTTACAGCCTGACCAGCAACATCTGAAGAACTTTTATTCTCTTGCTTATCAGTCTGCACAGCAATTTTGCCATCCTTCTCTTCCAGTCGAAGTGCAAGGACTGCCTTGTGAGTTTCTAGACTTTTCGGAAGATTTTTGGGAGCTTTTGACACATCCTTCACTTGTTGATTATCACAAAGACTTTCATATTCTGGTTCAATCAATTTGAGGTCCTGAGGAGTACTGGGAGATAACCCTCCATTACAGAGCTTCTGTGAAGAACTGCTGGTTGTTCCAGAGCGAGACTCTTCTGTCAGAGAAGAATCAGGAGATGTAGAATCAGAAGATGCCATGCTCTGCATACTTTCTTGCCCATAAAGAATCACAGTCTCTTCCCCGTAACCATTTAAAATTTCATCGTAACTGTCGTCGTAATCTACTGCACAGATCCGCTGGAGAGACTTGTTTCTAAGGGGCACTGTGTTCCATTTTTTGTCAACACAGAACTGAACAGGAGATAGGGTGTTAGCTCTAAAATTAGCAAAGCGAGGTTGGCCCCTCATACGAATTTCCATTGCTAGCAACTCTTCATCACTTTCATCCCAGCTCTCATGCTCTTCTTGCATGCTGCCAAAAAACGTGTCATCCTCACTTTCATCTCCGCTGGAGAACTCTGGATAACAGAAACGTCCACCTTCATTGCTTATTACTTCAGTGCTTCCACTCAGAATAACGTGCTTACTGTGTGAATCCTTCATTCCACCCATCATGCAGCTTGGAGGGATCTTTCTTTCTAATGACCTTTTATAACAGCTATTTATTCTTCCCAAGAAAGTTTCTCTTGAGTTCATTTCGTTTCCACTTAGCTGAGGTGTGGTATCCAAACCCGCAATCTCCTTCAGAACTTCTGTCAGTCCGTTATTATTGTTATTGGGTATTTTACCTACACCATCCTTGTTGCCATAAGGCCTATGAACATGGCTATAACCTTCAATTTCATCCTCATTATTATTGTTCAGTGGTTTTTTGTTCAGGACAGCTTTGTTTTGGTTCCAGCCTGCAGGCACAGGTTTATTCTCACAATGATCTGGTGTGCTGATCTCACCGCATATACCCTGCCCATCTACTACCATCATGGTGGGTTTCACAGCTATCGTGGGTTTCTTTGCCACAGGCGGTCGGAAGTTTCCTGTATTTCTCCCACGATGGCTGGTACTTTGGTTTGCATTGGTTTTCAGATTTCCATGTGAGAGGGTTTTTTTTTCAGACACTGGAGGTAACTGATGCAAGCTTTTGGGCTTGAAGCAGTTCTTACATTCACCAGGTTTCCAGACGTGTTCAGTGAAAGTGTTGCAAGCAGACATTTTCCCAGAGCTTTGTGCTTGATGCTGTGCTGTTCAGTGCACGGTAAGAATTTCATCCATATGTTTCCATGCTTTTCACTTACTATGGCTACGGTTTTGGGCAGCGATCATTCTGAAACACAAAAGAGAATGAGGATAAGAATGGGCAAAAAGCAGGCTGGCCACTATACTTACATTTTCTACACTGTGAACAGAGTAAGCAAGTAGCCTTTTACTGATGTTTTAGCTCTTTTTACCTAAATCTACAAAACTATGTAACTGAAATGCAAAAATAGTTGCAAATATCATTCTTGTCATACATAAAGAAATAGAACTTTGGCAGCTAAGCCTTGTATTGCTGAAAGCAGAGAAAGAGAAATGGCAATGGCTGAGAATTTAGAATAATCCTCTTGAGTAGTTCAGGACCATTGACCTTTAATTTCACCCAATAAAACAAATGCTAGGAAGAGGATACGAAACCAAAGATTAGTGCACATTGCTTTCAACATAACTACTTAAACATGAGACAGGAAAGTAAGGGTATGTTTACTCTCCTAAATTTAATTGAGATAATTTGTTTTAGCTTTGAATGTGAACGAGCTCAGCTTGAGTGACAAAAGATGTGCAAGCAATTCCAAACTCTGTCATTTTAGCACTTTTTAAATTGGAGTCAAATTGTAAGCGGACAGATATTCAGGCTGAAGGGACAGGCTGGACTGCTATCCTGGAAAAGTCAGATAAAAATGCTGGGGAAACCTTCCTAGAGTCACTGTTTCTTCTCCTTTAGCTTACAACAGTGGCAATAAACTATTCTTATATCCTTGAAACAAAGCTATGGATTTTTAGTCCCTGATTTGTTTCACATGTTTCTACCCAACACCTCCAGAAATAACAATTGAAAAAGAATTGAGAATCTCTTTCAAAGTGAACTTTTTTATTTCCTGAAACAATCAGCCTTAACTAAAAACCAAACACGAATCTGCTGTGCTTTATAGCCATTGGAGTATCTGGGCTTTGAGACTTTCATGAAGTAATGCCTGATGATTTTAAGCTTTCTAAGCCAGATCTGCAAGTCTGGTGTCTTTGTCACTGTTGCATAACTCAAAATATTGGAGACATTTTACAGAGGCGAAAGAATCTGTATGTCCACCACTAATTCTGAAAACACAGGTACTGAAAATCAATAATTTTATATTCTTACAGGCTTCAGGTAAAAATATACTTGCTGATCACATAGATGCTCTGAAAGGGTTTTAATAAACCCAGCAGTAATCCGCAGAGCCCGTGGTTGGTAACTCAGCAGCAGGACGGCTATGCTGGAATTCACCACGGACACAACAGCTTTTCATCAGTGCAAACAATAGAAATGCTCAGTAAAACTGACACGTGTATCCATTTGTCAGTCTCCTCACGTACTGCTCTGGGTTCTGGCAAAGGGCTGTCCTGTGCTGGAGAACACTGCCATAGCAATCCTGTTCCAACACCAGATGGGGCTGAAGCCTAACTCTGTTAGTATCTTCAGACACTTCCGTGGTACCAGGGCTATCATATTTCATACACTGACTAAATATGTTTCCAGACAAAGCCTTCTGCCAAAACTCAGTGCCAAAAGCTTTCTCTGTATGACCTAAGAGGTAGAAAGCCTGTCGTATAAGAGATCTGCCCAAACTTTCAGCCTTTGTTTTATATATATAAAGTAAAATGCCTTTGTATTTCTTTTATCTCTGCCAAGATTTGTTGCTTCAACACTTTGCAAGCCCATATATTATAAGCAGAAAAATTACAGTAAAAAATAATTCTCCTAAAATCAGAGAGAGTGTGAGCATGCACATACTAGTATTTTATACTCTGGTTAGCTCCTTCTTTTCATGTATTTAACAAACAAAAGGAGTAAAGTTACACTAGTGGGAATCTGAAATAAATGTTTTCTTGGAAAATATATTTCTCCATGACATAAAACCTCTGAAAAAACAATTTAAACAAAAGGGTTAGTGCATATGTGTGCAGTTTTTAAGATTTAACTGGGTGATATTATTTCTCTGAAACTGCATAAGCTGCACTTGCTCTAGGATTCCAGCACAAGCCAGAAAGCATTATGGCCCTTCAGCCTAAGCGTTTGCTGCTAATAATGTTGGGGTAGAAATGAGAAAGCACTCTACTGCACACCTTCTTTGACTACCTTTGTACGTTCTGCCACGGGCTGTAGGCGCGTTTGCTCAGATACACTGGTACCGATCAGTTTTCTTCTAACTCAAACGAGTGCTACACTCAATGTATGAGGGCAAATTACAGGAAACTTAGGACCACAACACAACACTTCAGTCAAAGTAAAAACTGTGGCATGGCTGTTGCTCTATGCAAACATACATCCCATGTCCCAGGAGTACCATCTGCAGCAATTTAGCTTAAAAACAAAATACATGTTGATGTGTCTGTGTACATTTCTGAGAAGCTCAATATGACGCCGCAGTGTGCGCTTGCAGCCCAGAAAGTCAACTGCATCCTGGGCTACAACAAAAACAGCGTGACCAGCAGGTCGAGGAAGGCAATTCTCCTTTCTCCTGTTTCAACTACAGATTCCCTATTATGAGTGATAATTATAGTAAGAGTGATGACGAGTGATAACAGAAATGAAATCTCCTTTCAGTATTAAAAAATATAAAACATTCTTCCCGTGTTCAGGCTGTTGCTTCCACTGCTGTCAGCAGCAGCTGCACCTTGGCAGGGGGCAGCAGAGCCCAGCGAAGGTAACAACAATGCACACAAAGACAGCAAGAAAAAATATCCTGACATGGGTCATTTTTACATTCTCACCCTACTCTCCAAAACACAGCAAGCCAACAAGAGATCCAGGCCGCCACACATCAGATCTCCTAAGCTGCTAGAGATGAGGCATCTTTTCTTCTGTAACTTCCTTGCTTCCATGACAGCCCATGTCAGTGCTGAGGGGCAGGAGGGAACACGTACTCTGCCAAGCAGCACAGCTCCTGGCTCCTCTGAAATGAGTAGCTCAGGGGACAGAACTTACTTGAAGATACTCATGAAATCAAGCCAACAACAACCTCAGTTGTTAAATACAAAGCAGCATTAGGCTTCTAAAGCAAGCGTTAACAGTAAATCAGTAATATCGACATTGTGCTTTTCATCCCTGTGTCTCAAAGCCTTGTATGTAAGTTGATAAACATAACTACTCACAGTTTACACACAAACACTGCAGTGCAGGGATGATAAGTAACTAAAATTCACTGAGTGGATCAGTGACAGGAACAAGTACAGTTCTGCTCCTAACGCAGTGCTGCAACCAGCAGCTCGTGGTGCTTCATTCACTAAATGATTGGGTCAGCACAGACAGTTCATCAGCTTTAAAGGTGAAATCACTCTGGGTAAATGAGAATAAGGATCCTCATTTTAGCAGATGCTCAACTGCACACAGGAGGGCTCAGTCTGGCCCTGCTGACATCAAACAGAAACACCAAAGTGGATTTCACTTTCCAAGTCAGAGGGAGAAGGTGACAGGTTCAAAGTTGCAGTGCAGAGATGAAGTAATCAGCTGAGATATCCTTATGTCAGGAAACCGAACCTTGCATAGAAATGCAGAAGTATCTGTGTGGCTCTTACTTGCTGACATCATCTTTGCTGAGTGCACAGAGACGGTAATAAACATGCATTTCAGGCATTTTCGCTTTGTTCTAAGTAATTTCAGGCTGGCGGGTCTCCCTTAGATGCATGCTGCCTGAATCACAATGAAGGCCTTCTCCAGCAATACTTTATACTAACATAACCCAATTAAAAGGAACTTAATTGGTGTGCAACATTGCCTACAATTTCAACATTTTAAAAATGAATAGTCTCAGTAAGTACCAGATGGTGACACACACTAATTAATCAGGGCTGCTCAATGAAGGGGCATATTAAAATGAATGCACCTATAACATGTGTTTTCAATGCTGTGTGCTGCAAAAGCCCTCCCTGTCAATGAGTGGCTGCTATGCTGCTGAGCACCATGCACAAGCATGCCTTTCATCATTTGCCACTGTAACACCATCACTCTTTGATCTCTTCTTAGATAACTTGATACTTGGTGCAGATTTCCTTCTGTTTGTCCTCCAGGGAAAAGGCTTTAGCACTGCTACCCATGAAAGCGGGCCTGCAGTTTTTATGCTGCAGAATGAATTGCATTGATCAGCCTTCTTATCAGACAGCAGTCCAGTAAATTGCTGCTGAACAGCCCACCAACCTCTCCCCACTGACAGGCATGTCTTCAGACTGAAAACCTCAGCAGTGGGAATCCCACCTGGGTTTTGCCCGTGCACCACGAAACCCCTCCGGCCCTGTGGTTTCGTCTGAACCACTTACAGGGATCTGGACAGTCACCGGTCATCACAAACAATGGTGTATGTCTAACATAACAAGAATAACAACAGTAACATCACAAAAACAAGCTATGGCTGTTCTTTGCCAGTATCTCACTTCTGTTTCTTTTAAACTCTAATATAACTAGAAACATTTAAAGCCACTTTTTGGAAAACCTGAAATGCTCCAACTTCACGCATGTGGTCCTGCTTGGGTGGCAAAGGGCTGCAGAAATGCTCCATCTCCCAGAGACCGTCAAGACTTAGTGACTCAGGAGCACTGAACCATCTAGCACAGCTGAGTGGGACCACAAACAAATGGGACGTGCTAATTAGGCTTTTTTTTTGTCCTTCATGCCATAAAAAAAGTTTCTTCTTAAATTTTACATCATTTGCCTGACTTCAAAGGAAAGCACAACCCCAAGTGAAGCTGACTGCAACAGCTGTTAGATATCTGAAATGGAACACAGAGAGAAGAGCTTCACAGCCAGCGGAGTTGCAGTCCCGTCTGAAGGCATGCTGAGAAACACACTTGTTTACATTCAGCACCCGGGAGCACTGTGCCTTGACTAGTCTTGCAGCGCTTGTTAATGAAATGAAAAGCCAATGGAAAAAAAAATGCTATGGAGCACCACAGCAGAGTTTGGAAATAAAAGCTGAAGTTATCAG